ATATGTCTAGCCCATCTTCCTATTTCAAGAGAAAATGCATCAACACAGGAAAGAAAAGAGAGCTTTGTCTTCAAATGTAGTAGAAAGATATAGAGATCCAATATAATAATTTTTCACTCTGTCTGTGCTCACAGCTTCTCCATCACACTGTACATACAGTTACCTTGGATAGAAAGACAACAGAGAGACACATTTCCATAAATATGAGCTGTGTACTGTAGGATGTGAGCCTGGCTTATGCTTTATGTGTTGATTTCACACTTGCATCGTAGTTTCCAAACCTCAGCCGAATGTTTCTGTGCAGATGTGGCAGCTGAGAGCGGATGTTAGTGTTTTCATCATTTGCTGATCGATTTAATTAATTGAGCGTCTGTTTTATACGATCACTTTGAGGACTGAGATTGTTTTTGTCTCAGACACACCATCTGCTGGTGTAAATCACCTTCATTCACTGCAGTGTTTCACAGCTTCTTATTGGTGCTTGTCCAGGTGTGGTGGTGATGTTGTTATGAAACAGCCCTTAACTCTGTCGGACATTTTTAGATCACTATCGCCTCACGTTCGGTGCTGCTATGTACATTCTCAATGTGCACCCAGTAAAAAAACCATCAAGGGCTCTAGTCCTGCTTGACGGTGTGGAAAGGCTTCAATCTCACACATCAGTGAAAGAAAAGAGGGCAAGATTGGGTGGAGGTAGAGAGAGAGTTTGGATTGGGATTCATGCCACTACAATTATCCTGTGAGAGTAATTGCTTTTGGCAGCACTCTCTGTACGATCACAGAGCAAAAACACAATTTGATTCCTACGTGTATGTGAGAAAATTGTGCAAGCCGATACGGGTTGGTGAGGGACACTAACACCCTTTTACAAGAGGATTCTTCTTTACTCATATTGGATATGTGCACGCTTTTATCATCATGTATCTAAACACACGTGTGTAGTAAAAAGCCCAGTCAAGCTTGGGATAAAATTATGAGAACATCTGAATAAAAAGGGGCTTCGACAATGAGTGAAATACTTATGGGTTTGGAACAACATGAGGGTGAGTCGCATTGGAGAACAAGTCACATTATCATTTCATCAATGGCCGGTTTCACAGACAAGGCTTAAGCTAGTCCCAGACTAAAATGCATGTTTGAGCTGTTTTAACTGAAAGCAACTTTATTTTGTCTCAAGATGCACACCAGTAATGTTTTTTTCTAAGGCATGTTTATAAAAGCTACTTAAATGTCTTAATTGAACTAAGGCCTAATCCTGGCTTAATCTAAGCCCTGTCTGTGAAACCAGGCCTAAGGATAATATAAAATACCAGTAAATAAAATGAAACGTTTACCACATAATAAACACTATGAACATTTATTTTAATTCCCCTCACTCTTGGGTGAACTATCCCTTTGATTATAGTATAAATATTTACCTATCCCTCAGGAGAGTTATGTCTTATTGAAATATTAATTTTGTAAATTACCATAAGACATACAGTATATTAAAATACATACATTGTAGATATTATAGACGTATATTAAAATTATAGAGCTGAAGAATTTGATGAGAACTATTTAAGTTCAAACTGAACCATTTTAAAATATTTTGTCTGCAGCTAAATTTGGCTGGTCTGAGCACAGTTTGAGACATTGTTGAGATCTCTTCTGAAACCCTATGAAGGCATACTGTATGTGAGATTACTGAGGATTTTTGTAAGGCTTTAGTTACAAAGTCTTCTCAACTTTCGGCACTTTATGTGCTGTTTATGTGATGTTGTACCAGCAGACAAGTCTGACAAATATCCTCCGGATACATTCTGCACAATGAGAAGAGTTGAGACAAAATGCCTATAAATGTTGAAGTGGGTAACAGCAGCAGCCTGGTCGTTTCTCTTTGTTTATCTTGGCCGTTGTCTTCTTTTAGCTGGATATGCCACTTGGAAGAGCAAACAAACATGAGAAACGAATACATTATTTAGAGTTTCTGGAGGCAGGCCTAGTATAACCAAAATATACAGAATATGCTTTGAATCAGCACAGCGTGATAATTATGGCCTGCATGACATGCTATTTCTGCATGTGAAAAAGCCAAGTATAGTTTCTCAAAAAAATAGCTTCTGTCATTAGAGTCATCATGCAGAGACATCATGCCATGCTTAATGTCATGTAGTTCAAAGATTCAGCTCATGCACGTTAATCATCCGCTAACGAAGGTGAGAACATTGGGCTAATTAAGCGTAGCATGCATGTGACTGAGTACAGGGGAGTTCAGATGCTGCAGCAGGAAATGGAAACATGGAAAGATTTTACACCTTTAACATGAGATTGTTTCCTTAATCTTACTGCTGTTGCACCACTACGGAAGTAATTAGGAGTCAGTTGTTTTTTTTCTTCTGTGAATTGACTGTATTTTACTGATAGCCCAAAATCAAATGTACATGTAGGTTGGCTGAGCCTAGGTTTGTATCTTTAAAGTATTGTGTCTGATCCAGACAGAAGACTTACCGTGAATGACTTCTAGACATCAGCCCAGGCTAACTGTAAAAAAACTTAACTCATTATTTTGTGTTATCTTTTTGCATGTTTTTTTTTTTAGTTTAACTAACTTATTTCGATAAGTTGAGGACAAGAAAACTTAAAATTTCTTGTTGTCTGGACAATCTAGTTATCTCTACACATAAAAATAAGTTGAAATAACTAAATTGCTCAAATATTTTTTACAGTGTAGTCTTTCACCTTTCTTATTTTCTCATTCCTACACAGCCCTCATACACCGCCATAAAGTAAAAAAATCTATGCAAATGAAAAAAACATAAAAAAATGTATCGGAGTATGTTTTACAAGAAAACACTATTTCAGTCTTTATAAAAAATGTCATGTTTTAATAGAATGTTTTACTTGCTATTTCTTTGTAATTCATTGTGAAGTTTACTAGCCATTTTTGAGTGAAAATTGTTTATACACCATTTTTTTATATAGCCCCTTCTGTTTGTCCTGATGCTCAACATGTTGACTTTGCTTTGAATTCCATCAATCTTTATGCTTTGAAGATCAGTCAGAGTTGCGTAAGAGGAAAAAATAGCATATTAATTTCCTCTTGGAGAACTAGTGCTGAAGTTGTAATTAAGTGTGCTCAGTTAACCTCTCGGGAGATAAGTGAGCGTCCTTTTTAATCAGTGTCTTTTTCTATCTATCTGCTCTCTGGCAGTAAGGTTTAAATAAAGATGTGTTGTTGGTATGCAGGATTATAAAAGTATAAAAAAAAATTATGAATCATTTTGCCCTCACCATTGCATTAAAACCTTACTGTGTGACATGTCTATCAGTCACAATGTAATCTCTCAGAGCAAGTACGTAGACATGCTGCTGATAGCATGTAAAATATGCTGCTGATGCTGCTTAAATAGACATACAACTATATATAATATAACTTTGTTATATTATTTTCATGTTATCACTGTGAAGCTGCTTTGATACAATCTGTATTGTAAAAAGCGCTATATAAATAAAGGTGACTTGACTTGACTTGACATAAATCCTATAGCAGGTGGAGCTGGGGGAGGTGGAGGGTTTCAGAGGAACTCTGATGGCACGCTGCAGGACTAGCTTATGGTGCTTTTCCACTGCTTGGTATGGCTCGGTACGGCTCGGTTCGCTTTACTTTGGCTCGGTTTGCTTTTCCACTGCAGTTTAGTACCGCTTCAAAGTGGGTGGGTGGGACTATAGACTGATCGTTATATTTGCACCAAATCCAAATGATGCAAATCCAATGATGCTGGTAGTGACGATTCTCTCTGACCAATCAGTGATCTGCAGTGTTTACACATCACATTTTAGTATTGGTACGGCTCGCTTGGAACCTTAACCGGGCGGCAGTGGCTCAGTGGTTCATGTAGGTTGTCTACAAACCAGAAGGTTGGTGGTTCAATCCCCGGTTCCACCTGACCAAGTGTATGGCCGTCGGTGTATGAATGAGTGAGTGAATGGGTGAATGTGAGGCAAAATGTAAAGCGCTTTGGTGGCCATTGGGTCTGTGAAAGCGCTATATAAATACAGTCCATTTACCATTTAACCGAGGTGGTACTAAAAAAAGTATCAGGTACTAGGTACTATACACAGTGGAAAACCCCACAAAAGTGAGCCGTAATGAGCTGTACCATGCAGCGGAAAAGCGCCATTACAGTAAACAATAAACCAGACTATTTAAATGTTGAGCAAGCAATCTTATTGGCTGCAGGGTGCCATGTGGTAATAGTGTGATTGCTTGAAGACTGCATGTAAGGACCAATCAGCTTGCCCCCTCTAGAGTTTCCTGACTGAACTAGATATTTCAGCAGTCTATAATATGTAAACAAATTATTCTAAGCAGTCAAATCTAACTCTAATAGATGGGCAATAATGTTCAGTTAATTATTAAATGCTTGAGTTCTTTAAAGTCAGTGGATTCTGATTGACTGACAATGTCGGTTTAATCGTTGATCAGCTGGAAAAAAAACATTCTGAAACTGATTCCAACGATATCATTCCTCTGTGTTAGTTGTGGTGTGGAGTGTGGACTTCCCTATTCTCATAGAATTGGAACAATTATTAATCATTTATTGTTATCATTATAGTTATCATCCTTGGTGTGAACGGGCCTTAAGTCTACAGATGCTGCTGCACTACCATAAACCAAAAGAGAAAAAACATTGTTCGCTCTATCAACGCATGCTCTTTCTGTTGGGTCTCCAGTATAATTTGTCAGACAGAAAAACATATTAGGTTTGTAATGAATTAATTGTCATGATTAAAGGATCGCAAATCTAGCTTCGCTGTTGGATGTCTCCAACTCTCTGCTGCCGTAGTAGGCAAATATATAAAAAGATATGCAAATTGTATCAGTTTTTATTTATGTATCTTTTTTTCTCCCCTCCCTCCTTTCCGCATCTCTCTCTCTCCTTTTCTCTTGCTCTCACTTCCTCCTTCTATCTGTATCTCTTGTTCTTCTCCCCTCCCTCTGTCTCTCTCTCTGCCAGCCGCCACCAACTTGGACTCGGAGAGCAAACGAACGGCCCACTTCCAATCGTCATGGCAACAGCATGTGAATGTGTTCGGCTCGTGGAGTAGGCCGGAGTGTGTGCAGGAACTGCACCAGGAGGCTCAGCTGAACCTACAGAGTCTGCTTCAAGGTAGGAGAGTCAGCTGCAGGCGCTTCGTCTGTGTGTTTCGGTGCCACCATCGTCCCTGCCTGCCTGGATCTGCCTGTGTGTTTTCGTTTTGTTTTTGTGGGTGTGTGTTTTGCTTTTCCTTGCATGCGTGCTGTCTGCGAATATCTTCAACATCCATTCCCATTCTGTGTTTCCCAGTGCGTGTAAGAGAGGCACTATTTGTTTTTCTTTTCCTCCGAGCATCCTCATGTTTTCCCTCCCCTCGTCTCCCATCGTTCCCCCTCTATTTCTGACTCATACTTCGTCCTTCCTTATGATCCATTAGATTAATTTCCATTTGTAGAGAATACACAGTCTCCCTTTCTCTTTTGGCTTTTTCATTCGCTGAATGAATATGTCAATGCTCTTGACTCCTGTCGCTGTGTGTGTGTGTGTGTGTGACTGTACATGGTTGAATTTCCCTCTTTTATCTCTTTCTTGTTTGATGTCAGCTATTAATATGTTTCTGTGAGGTATGAGATGCTATTCTGGTTTAAAATCAGATCGACTGGGCAGCTGTTGCTTAAACAACAGTGAGTTGGTGGTCAGTGTTTATGAATGTGTGGCACTGTGCTATGTGCATAAACAGCAATTTGCCATTGCATATGCCTATCTGCCATTCAAGGATGTAGCCAAATTTTAAGACTGAAGGGAGCAAGAAAAGTTTAAGACTAAGAAACCCGTTGATTGACTATTCAGACATTGAATAGTTGAACATTGAACATTCTCCACCTCAATGTCTATGGTGGTTACGGCCTGACAGAATATCTTCCTTATGCCTGGTACACTTTGTACGATTTTGGGCTGTCCAAGACTAAAGATGACCAATCGTGGCGATTTCTGTGGTCGTGGCTCCTAAACGGTGGTCCTACATCGTACAGAGAGAGAGAATCAAAGATGGCCGTTGTCACGGTCTTGCGACCAAAGATAGCCTGCAATCATTTTCTGACAGTGATCATCTTAAAGTGTGTTGGCTGCTACAATTTATGTCTGCTGAATAGCCAATAAAACTGCAAAATGAAATGGCATATTGATCAACGTGACATGGTGCTAAAACTTAAAACTACTTGCCTCCATTTACAAAATTGTCATGCCAAGTTGGCCTCTACTCCCTAGCCATGACCGCGTCCATATTCTCCTTCCTCTTTTGCTTCCTCTTTTTTTCAGCGCACATAAAAACCACAATTGCCAAAGTGCGATTCATCTTGCTTTATTTGTTTACCAGTAGCGCATGCTGATGACATTTTATTCTTCTATACTAACTTGCGTCGTTGTCTACGATTCAATAGTTGTCATCATCGTACAGTCTACATACATCTCTTATTTACATACTCTCGGACAACATGTAGTAAACACAGGACTTGTTTTGGAAAGCTCAATTAGTTGCAAAAGTACGTCACATTTTATCTAAAGTCTAATTGGCAGCTTATCTTGTTGACCATGAATATGTGCCTATTTGTATAATGATATACACTCACCTAAAGGATTATTAGGAACACATACTAATACTGTGATTGACCCCCTTTCCCCTTCAGAACTGCCTTAATTCTATGTGGCATTGATTCAACAAGGTGCTGAAAGCATTCTTTAGAAATGTTGGCCCATATTGATTGGATAGCATCTTGCAGTTGATGGAGATTTGTGGGATGCACATCCAGGGCACGAAGCTCCCGTTCCACCACATCCCAAATATGCTCTATTGGGTTGAGATCTGGTGACTGTGGGGGCCATTTTTTTCAGCGCACATAAAAACCACAATTGCCAAAGTGCGATTCATCTTGCTTTATTTGTTTACCAGTAGCGCATGCTGATGACATTTTATTCTTCTATACTAACTTGCGTCGTTGTCTACGATTCAATAGTTGTCATCATCGTACAGTCTACATACATCTCTTATTTACATACTCTCGGACAACATGTAGTAAACACAGGACTTGTTTTGGAAAGCTCAATTAGTTGCAAAAGTACGTCACATTTTATCTAAAGTCTAATTGGCAGCTTATCTTGTTGACCATGAATATGTGCCTATTTGTATAATGATATACACTCACCTAAAGGATTATTAGGAACACATACTAATACTGTGATTGACCCCCTTTCCCCTTCAGAACTGCCTTAATTCTATGTGGCATTGATTCAACAAGGTGCTGAAAGCATTCTTTAGAAATGTTGGCCCATATTGATTGGATAGCATCTTGCAGTTGATGGAGATTTGTGGGATGCACATCCAGGGCACGAAGCTCCCGTTCCACCACATCCCAAATATGCTCTATTGGGTTGAGATCTGGTGACTGTGGGGGCCATTTTAGTACAGTGAACTCATTGTCATGTTCAAGAAACCAATTTGAAATGATTCGAGCTTTGTGACATGGTGCATTATCCTGCTGGAAGTAGCCATCAGAGGATGGGTGCATGGTGGCCATAAAGGGATGGACATGGTCAGAAACAATACTAAGGTAGGCCGTGGCATTTAAACGATGCCCAATTGGCACTAAGGGGCCTAAAGTGTGCCAAGAAAACATCCCCCACACCATTACACCACCTCCACCAGCCTGCACAGTGGTAACAAGGCATGATGGATCCATGTTCTCATTCTGTTTACGCCAAATTCTGACTCTACCATCTGAATGTCTCAACAGAAATCGAGACTCATCAGACCAGGCAACATTTTTCCAGTCTTCAACTGTCCAATTTTGGTGAGCTCTTGCAAATTGTAGCCTCTTTTTCCTATTTGTAGTGGAGATGAGTGGTACCCGGTGGGGTCTTCTGCTGTTCTAGCCCATCCGCCTCAAGGTTGTGCGTGTTGTGGCTTCACAAATGCTTTGCTGCATACCTCGGTTGTAACGAGTGGTTATTTCAGTCAAAGTTGCTCTTCTATCAACTTGAATCAGTCGGCCCATTCTCCTCTGACCTCTAGCATCAACAAGGCATTTTCGCCCACAGGACTGCCGCATACTGGATGTTTTTCCCTTTTCACACCATTCTTTGTAAACCCTAGAAATGGTTGTGCATGAAAATCCCAGTAACTGAGCAGATTGTGAAATACTCAGACCGGCCCGTCTGGCACCAACAACCATGCCACGCTCAAAATTGCTTAAATCACCTTTCTTAAATCACCACACCCCTAAATGCATTGAAGCAACTGCCATGTGATTGGTTGATTAGATAATTGCATTAATGAGAAATTGAACATGTGTTCCTAATAATCCTTTAGGTGAGTGTAGTTGGTTGCTTTGATATTTTTTGTTGCATGTTCCTCTAGGGTTAACCCTAACCCTAAAAATGATTGTATTATATTATAATAGATTTTTTTTATAATAGAAAAATGGTTATCACAATATTTGATGGGAAAACAACACTGTCCTGTCCTTCCCTGGTGAAAAAAGGGAAAGGTCCAATTTGTACAAAATACTATTGTATACTATAATGTATTTTGAAAGTATACTTTCAATGCATTGTTACAATGATCATTTCCAGCACACAGTTAAAATATACCTAAAATATATTTTTTAATAAAGTGCAAATAAATACACTTTTAAAAAATAAACTGAATTTTCACTTCAAGTATATTTTTCTAAAATATATTTTTAGAAAATATACTAAAGTACAATTATTTTAAAGTGTGTAAAAAGTTGTATTGTGAAAATAGGTAAAACCATGATGCTAATATACTTTTAATATATTTAAAGATAGTACCATTTTTGTTAGTATATTTGTACTATTGAAAAAGGGAATATATTTCAAATACAATAAAGTATACTTTTTTTCCACTAGGGTTATCTTTCGCTGTCATATTCATTATGTTTGCAAACTAAGAGGCCCAGCAACATTGAAGAGATCAGGCATCCATAGTGCTTAAGCTTCTGCCCAAACACAAACTGCCCAAATTGACAAGAAAAGGGGCATTGTTGCTCTTGACCTCTTCCACTTCTCTACTGCATACACAAGACAAGGAGTGACCCATATTTAATAAATGGTTGGTTTTCAGTGAGCATCTTGTTAGGCGATGCTTTGAGGTCATTCATGACCACTCATACACGCTTGAGTGGTTGGCATCTTGTCTAGACGAGCCATTTGATTGGCTGATAAGAATGGAGATTTTTGAGTCCCATTAGTTTTACTGACTGGCCCAAAATCAGGTCAGGGAAGGGGAGGGTGTGTTTGAATGAAATACCTTCTCTTCTCACTCACACACACACACACACACAAACTCATTCTCCCTGTTGCTTCTACCCTCTCCCATACATCATCTTTGAAGTTTTGATATGGTCTTTGAAGCCTACCCTTCCACAGAGGCTTGTGTGATCCAACCACTGTTTTGGTGAGTTCTGACTCTCTATCTAGTTTACTTTTTTTCTCTTTTGGTTGGAACTTACTTTAGTATTTAGTAGTATTTACTTACATAGCTGCATCCATTGTATTTCTAACATTGTGCATATATTTAAATTAGCATGATTAACTTTGCTGATCTATTTAAGATCACAATACCGTTCAAAAGGTAGAGGATGGTAAGATTTTTTTTTATGTTTTTGAAAGAAGTCTCCATGCTCACCAAGGCTTCATTTCTTTTATTAAAAAATAACATTGTGAAATATTATTACAACTTAAAGGAACTTTTTTTCTATTTGAATATATTTTAAAATATAATTTGCAAAGCTGAATTTTCCAGTCTTCAGTGTCACAGTGAAATCATTCTAATACTGATTTGCTACTCCAGAAATATGTCTTATTATTATCAATGTTGAAAACAGGTGTGCTGCTTAATGTTATTTGGGAACTGTGATATTTTTTTTAGGATTCTTTGATTAATAAAAAGTAAAAAAATAAAATAAAATTTAAAGTCTTTACTGTCAATTTGATTGATATAATGCATCCTTGCTGAATAAAAGAACCCAAACTTGAATGCTAGTGTAGAAGGTGGGAAGGTTATTACTTTAATATAGCACAGCGTTTGGAAAAGTGAGGTTAGTTATGTATATTAAAGAGGAATTTGCTGTGTGGTTTGTGTGTAGAATGCTTTGGATGTTGGTCAGTGTTTGCAGTAGTTGGTCTTGTTACAGCTGCAGGAAACTAATAGTTATAACGCATTCCATAACACAACCCTCTTTTTTATATTTTTACTTTGCTTTCCATGGGATTTTACACATCAGATTGCATGGTTTGGTCCATCAATCTCTGCAGTGCATTCAGCACAAGTGTTTCCCTGAGTAACTTGAGGTCTAAGGCTAACTGCAGGATTGTCTTTCTGTGTATCTCATTAGTGTGGCAATTTGAAAGCCATCTGGTCAAGTATCATTCCTGGAATAGAACTCTCTTTATTCGGCATGATAAATAAAATCCCAAAACATATTCAAAAGTTGTGCATGTGGCAATGCACAGCTGTAGGCTGTAGTTTTGCTGCAGTCTCACTCTCATTTTAGTGGAGGTTTAGGATTTCAGATGTGTGCTCTGTTCTGCTCTGTCCCAGCATGTGAAGAGGACTCTACTCAACGAGGCTAAACTTGGGGCTTGGGGCTATTGTTGACTCCGGAGGTATGTCATTGTCTTAGACAGCCCACCATTGCTAGGCAACCCCAAGTCTAAGAGTGCGGCATCCCAGTTCGGAAAAAGAGGGATCAGCCCCCCCACCCCCCACAATCACAGACACAGACCATATTATTGAGGACTATTATTGATAGACTGAATGCTTTTTTTACTACCATTACCATTTTATACTAAAGATAACATTTACTCTTACCTTACCCCTCAACCTAACCCTTACAGAATCCTGTCGTCGACATTTTTAGATTTAAATCACAACATGATTTGGCCGATTTATGCGCCTTTCAAGTAGAGGACAACTTAAATGTCCTCACAAGCCAGTCAGCCCTATTTGACATTTGAAGACATTTGTGAAAGTTCGGCTCTCACGAGTATAGCCAAACCAGTAAGGATAGAGACTTGGATAAGTGAAGGACAGTGTTTTTGTGTGTGTGTTTTTGAGTATATAGTGGGAGGGGTGAAAGAGAATGTTTTGGGGGATTAAAATGGCTACAAGAATGGGGTGGGGTCTTGTGAGGGGAGTCCTTGGAATGAATGCAATGGTAATCATTCTGTTTACAAGAGCCCTAGGGAACATTTCTGACAAAGAGGGAGAGAGATTTCATTAATTGATTACAGTGTGTCTTAGTGCTGTTGGCTGCTACCTTTAAAACTAGCATGTTGTGTCTGTGTCTACTCAGATTTTGAGGAGCAGTTGTATGATAACAGAGTGACAGGACAGACATTCAGACACCCTTCCTCTCAGAGCTCGGAGGACACTTCAACCACTCTCAGCCGATCCCCTTCCTCGCTCAACAACAAGAAGACGGAGTTCGTTTTTGTGGTAATGCTTTCTTTTTAGCTCTTACACTAATGAAAGTAGGGTTTTACTGGGCATTTTGAGGTCACTGTATTTTGACTTGTGTGCCACCAACAAACTCGTTTGTTTGCTGAAAAAGCATTAATGTTTTGTATAAAGTTTGCAAATCTAATTAGATGTGGTTTGTCCCCTGAGTGGAAATAGCTACAGGCTTCTCTGAGTCGGTGGTTTTGAGTGCGTAAACAAACAGTAGTTTAAAAATCCTGCAAAATAATTTACTAAAACATTATAATATCCCAAATTCAGTGTTTGAATATAAAGGAAATTATTTATTAATATGAATGAATTATCATTCGTTAGTACCAGATTTACCAATTCTGATATACATGCAGATTTATACCTAATACTTTAGTATATTATACTTAATAAACCTCAAAATCCATATCTAGAAATGGTTAAGCATTTGAATAATTACATAATTCATTACAAATACAAATTATTTCTCTCTTTAGCCTGCAAATAAGCAGGTGTGTGAGGATGAGACTACAACTTTAGGGGTTCGGGCGCAGGACCCGACCCCCTGCGGTTCAGAGAAGTCCCTTCTTGGCTGGAATGCCTCACTGAGTCCAGCTGTTGCAGTGAAACCTCGCTGGTACCTGGGCCGACATACTCCAGCTCACCTTGTACCCATTGAGATCACAGGTAAAGGTGACTTGGAATACCGTCATGTTGAGTATATCTGTATGTTTTTAAAGTCTTTTTAGAGTCTAACAAATACGGCCTGTTTGAAGGTGTCATTGACGTGTTATGCTAAGAACTTTGTTGCTTAATGTTTTACAACATTTCCCCATTTTATTAGCTGTATTAAAGTTTGCTTTTTTAATGGAATGAGTGTATATTATGGAGTATGATTTTTTTAAATTGTGTACAGCTGATGTTCTGTACGGGGGAAAGAAACTCAAGCATGACAAAGACTGAACAATAGTGTATCCCCAATAAGAAAGTCCTAGGTCACTTAGTTCTGGATGTTTTTGGTCTTGCAAATCATATTATCATCAACATCATCACAGGCAACCCCATTTCTTAGTTTTAATGCTCTCTTTCCTAAGAGTTTACACATCAGATTAGATTGCTTGCATTCACATTGTATATGTACTTTAAATGTTAAAGCATTTGCTCCTTTCTCAAACTTTCACCCTATTTTTTGTTTTGTGTTTAAAGCTCTTGTTGTAGTGGTGCTCTTGCTCTCCTTCCCTCTCTCTCTGTCTCAGCTCTCAGCTGTCCCACACCCATCTCTCTAAATCTCCCTCTTGACTACCTTCCTGTTCCCCTCTCTGGCCTGGACACAGTGGAGAGTTGGTTGGATCCATAAACACAGATAATGCTGTGCTTAGGCAGCCTGAAGTCTGATTCCCAAAGTGGTGCTGTTCTTTAGCCACTAAAGATAATGAACAGGTAGCTGTTGCCATGGCAACATGCAGCTCTCCCTCCTTCGCTTAGCTAGGAGGTGCAGAAAAAGCTGCATAGAGTGAGAGACAGACAGAAAGTGAATGAGTGAGAGAGAGAGAGAATTGTAGCCGATGGGTGGGAGCAACAGGGATGGAGGAAGAAAGATTTTTTTCATGTTTTGTTGGTATTTTCATGAATGAAGCCAGCTCACGTGTTGGGAGCAAATGAGGTTTCGTTGGGTGTTTTCGGAGAGCTGTTTTCTGAGAAACAAAAGGGGTATAATCCATGTAAAAAACATAGTGAGAACTGGGCTTAATTAGCACATTATGTTCAGTTCCTTTCATCATTGTAGAATGGTGGACTATTTATCACAGCACTCCCTCATGCACCGGATGTTTAAAATTATTAAACACCCAGTCCAGTTCTTGAAAACACATCAGTGTTGTATTATCCCACAGAAAGGAAAGAAAGTTACATAGATCTTCCATTGGGTAGTCCTTAGTCAATGCCCAGCTCTTGTTTTGATGTAATATCCAGTGTCCATTGTCTGATTTCATTTCTCCAGATCACTCTGGCACCATCTATCTCATGTTGGCTATTGCTTTTATCCATAATATACTTTTTTCTTCATAAATTTACCAAAATGCTTGTCATTGCATACTCAGGTCTGATTACGCGGTCATGGCTAATGTTTTTCAGCCCAGTCATAACATGTATAGAATAATGCAGCTTTTATGCAACCATTTTAAGGTCATAAAAATAATTTATAAAAATTAAAATTTATCTGACTGAAGACTGTCAGTTAGCCTGACAGCTGGTATCTCATATCTTGCCTCAGGCCAGAGCTTTGATAAGCACTCCGCACGGCACAGCGAACTGCGGGCCCCCTTTAGAACTGATTCAGCGGTCAACCCAAAAACCGTTCGCCGCCCAAGGAGTGTGGTTGCAGGCCCTGATGTCACGCTGCACTGCCAAGGTGACTAACAGGAAGTTAGGCAAGTTACTGACAGGGTCTCAGAGTGCAAAAAGAAATAAACAGGGAAAGGACAATGGGCACTGACCAATGACTTGTATCTAGAGTAATTTGTAAATCTAAAATCTAATGTTTGTTACAGCCACACAGAAGCTTTGAGAAACTGTCACACAGATTGTAATTTATTTTAGCTAACAATGTTCTGATTGAAATACATCTTTCAGAATCTTTACAAACATTCTTCTTATCTAAGAATGAAGGACTAAATTCTCTTTTTAAACTATTTTTTAAAACTATTTTGTCTTTAGGTGACAGCAAAATTCTTGCTGTTGATCTAATACAAGGTGCCTGTTCCCCTGGATCCTCTCAACCCAGATCTTTGGAGCCCACCACCGAAAACACGGGCCAACAGCATATTCCCCTTCGGAAGACCCAGAGCGACCTGGAGTACAGTGTTCCCCCATCCCCGAAGACCCCATCAGGCATGATGGATCATGCCACTCTGATGTGCCCAAGCCCCTCCTGGAATGGCCCAAAAGGTTCCACTTTCTCTCCTTCCTGGAATGACACCTACAACTATGCTTTGGTTACGAGCTCTGCTTCCAAGCAGCCAATTTCTAAAACTGGAATGTTAACACCTGGAGGTGAAGGAGGTGGTCTAATGTGTCCATCCCAGACCAGTTCAGGCCTCTCCATGAGCTCAGGGTCACACTCCAGTTCTTTCACCTCCATCTCGGAACCATGTGGGCACCGGGTGTACAGTGTGTTCACACAGGGGAGTGGGGTTGCCATAGGGAAACGGAATGACACAGAGGGGGCTTCCACTGCAGTCACGGGAAATACCAAAAGTGAGCAGGAGAAGAGATCAGCCCGGTCCAATATATTCAGGTTCCGTGAACGTTCACTTTCAACACCAACAGACTCTGGATCATTTTGCTCAGCAGATAATATATGTTCCCCAGGTGAGGCTGTCCCTGTCGTTCCAGAGGGTGAGAGTTATGCCCTGCTATATCCGAGCAATAGCTCGGAGGATAGCACGAGCACTGATAACGTCTCTGTCACCACGGGTTCAGACTTTTTTCCAGATAGTCGACTGAGGTCCCGCTCACGCAGTATCTCACTAAAGAAATCTAAGAAAAAGCCACCGCCTCCAGTACGTAGTGTATCCCTGATGAAAAACCTATCAGAGGTTGGAGGAATGGGCTCCTACCACAGTGAAGGGCGTTTCAGGGATGGCAGACCCAAGAGTCTCTTTATCCCTCGAGATCACCATATTCAAGATTCATTCCAGCCTGAGTTCCTGATTGTCAAACCTGAGGACGACACAGATCAAGCCCACAGTAGTTTGGAGACATCTTCTGATATTTCTCAGCCTGCTGACAGGGAAACAGAGCTTGGATTTCCTCCTCACTGGCAGCTCAATGAGTGGAAGTCCAACAATGATCCCTACCGATCACTGTCAGGTTCAAGCACAGCCACAGGTACCACAGTGATTGAGTGCATGAAGGTGCGGGGCAGCTCAGAATCCCTGAATTCACCCTCAACCTCACGAGCCACGTCTCCATCCCAGCTCTCAATTGAGGCTGAGACCAAGGTATCCCCCTTCAAGCCCCCATGTCTCCTGTCTCCATCCAGTGGCTACTCAAGCCAGTCTGAAACTCCAACCCCAACTATATCAAACACCCTCATCACTGGACCTTCTCCAGTTGGCTGCAAGATGCGGCCAAAGATTCCAGAGCGGAAATCTTCCCTCCCAGCTTCTGCAAAGGATAAATCACGGTCACGTCTTTCATTTGAACTACCTGCAAACTCTCAACTGGATTTGTCCTCTGTCAAACCCAAGCCTAAAGCCAGCCGACGCCATTCTGACACATCTACAGCCAACAAACCAGGTAAACTGAGCCCCAGTCAGTCTTCTCTGCCTATGGTTACCACAACAGACTTGCGAAACATCCGCCTTCGTTCAGTAAGCCGCTCAGAACTTGAGGACAGTCCTGATGGCTCTTCTGACATTATAGAGGAAGAGCAAATTCGAGATCTCAGCCCTCCTATCACCCCCTCTAACACAAAACAGTCAAAGCCACCAGTTGCAATGAAGCCGCCTCTACCTAAACGACCCATGAATTTGATGCTTAAATCTCCCTCATCCTCCCCTCTGGCACCTGAATCTCCTCCATCTTCCCCTGTGGACCGACCCATGCCTGTGGGTAACATCTATATGGTTGTAAGAAAGCCCAAACCTAAACGACCACCTCAGTCATCACTCAGTACATCTGCAATAGCCCCTCAAGAGCCACTCCGCAGCTATGTACCTCCTCTCCCCGAGTTTGACCTGGAGCATGGGATTCCCATTGAGGAAGATCTTCCATCCCCAAGTAGCCCAGAGAGAGAGAACAAAAGTAAGACCCTTCCAAGTAGAATGACAATATCCTGTTTAGCAGAATTAGACAAAAGAAAGCCTAAGGTACCTCCTCCAGTGCCCAAAAAACCCAATGTCCTTCTTCTGCCCTCTCCAAGCAGCCAGACCAATGGCGGTGCAGAGAGGCAAACTCTACTTTCCGATAGCATCTCCCAGTCACCTACAAGTCCATCAGCATCTGAGATTGAGGGAGATTTGCTTAAAGATGAAGATCAAGATGATCCTGCAAAACTAATTTTACATGGAAACCATAAATATTCTGAAAGTTATGAGACCTTTGAAAATCAGGAGACAGATGTGGTAGTTGAAGAGAATAGTTCAAAAGATTCAGGTTCTCAACAAATTATGGAAAGAGAGACACTTCCAGCAGAGACAGTAAAAGGTTAAACATTTTTTACATTTTCAGTTAAGATGTTAATTTAAACAAATACTGTTTTATTTAGATATAGTCAGTTTGTGGTTTAATTTGTGTTCTTTTAAAAATGCTGCTCCACAGAAACTTATGCAGAAACAGAAATATTGGAAGAGAACAACGCTGCAGTTGACAAGACCGAACTACACATTACAGAGGAAACAGACGACGATGTATCTGTCCACACACCCACAACTCATACCACTGAGGACCTCTTCACCATCATTCATAGGTACAGAACTTGTTAAACATTCACACTGATTCATTTAACTATTTCTGTCTAACCTGTTAACCTGCAACCCCATTTTTGAAAAATCCCCAGATATGGCATTCCCAAACTGAAACAGATACAGTTCATGAACCCTTTGTACTAAAAGCACAAGTAAGATCTCATTTGAAAGCTGACATCTGGAAGTTTATTGTAAAGGTAGAATTAATTATTGTCATAATGAAAAAAATAGTTATAAATAGCTTCAAAGTTTTGTAAAGTTATTATACATTTATTTTTATGAAACATATTCATGAAAATAAAATTGAAGTTGGCATTGTAGCAATCTAGAAATGCACTGCAGCTAAAGCCACATGTCTGGCCATGTTATATTTAAAATCTGAAGATGATAAGTCTAAAACTCTGTATTTAGTTCAATGTTTTTCAAGATCATGTCATATGACTTTATTTTGATTAGACTGGGGTTTATTGTCATCTTATAAGCATCTATTCAGTCTATTGCCTCTATTGTTTTGTGATGCAAAAACGAGCCCCATTCAGTCTCAGTCTCCCCTGCACATATTCACACCTCTCCTCCCTGATTATTGCTCTAAATATGCTTTTCTTTTGTCTGCATTATAATCACTAACGACTAGCAATTCACAATGTTTCAATCCCTCATTTCTTTTATAAAAGTTCTCACTTCACAGTGAAACTGTATCAAATGCCCTTTTTGAAAAACGAAACATTTCAGTAAGCATTCTTATTTAGAAAAAAAAAATCATAAAAATTACACCGAAGTTAGGTAGCAGGTGCTCAGTACTAGCTAGCATGTTAGCTTAGCACACCATCAATACACGACAATTTATGAGAATAAAACTATGTTTGTGCTCTAAACTTACTTTATAGCGCAAGTCGAGTGTTTTAAATAACTTTCTGTAATCTGATTTGGCTTCAGATAAAAAAATCAGATAGAAAATATATTATTTTATTGTATTCTGCACAATTTGAAAGTCTATCTCGATTAGCATTAGCCTGGTTCTACCAGACTCTCGTACATTTCATTTGTACAGAGAGTCTGGCCTCGCTCCATTGAGAAACGTTTACTTCCTTGTAGGCGGGTTCTCTGTTAAAGTTCAAAACTATTGGATCTGCCCAGCGTCACTCAGGATCTGCCATAGCTAACGTGTGGTCGTGACGTATGTCATGCGCCGAAACCGGCTGGAAACAACAAGTCCGAATTCCATATTCATAAATCTAAATATCTAAATGCTAAACCTCTCTTTCTTATATTTGTGAAAGAATTTTAAAAATACCTCTTTTCAATTAAGTTGTCTGAGAACAAAAAAAAGCCTTAAAAACATTATCTGTTTTCCTTTTTTCAGTGTCATGTAATTCTCTTAACTTGTTCATGTTTATTTTATATTATCCCCCTACTGTTTTATTTTTGTTTTGTTTTTATTATTATTTTTTGTTTGTTTTTGTATTATGTTTTCTGTTATTACTTGTGTATTGTTTTAAGCAATAAAAAAAAAAACAAGTCCGAATGATCAGAGGATTATGTTTAGAATAAGATGTCTGTCAACGAGAGCTGCATGTTTTGTTAATCGAATTTAAGAGTTCAAGGAACAATTCTAAATTCTAAATGTATATTTGACACTAAGGACAGTGATGTATTCAGTCAACTGTCGAAGCTGGGTGTAATCATTAACAATACGCCGCTGCGGTCGTTTCGGATCTGCCGCAAATGCTGTACAGTGATCATCGTGCACGCCGAGCTGCCCAGCACCAACTCCTAACCTTTCTGCCTCCCTCACTTGGTCCTCCATTAGTGCAACAAGAAGAGACGACAACAACTATCGGCTTTGCATCCTATCGTTCGCCTTAGCTAACTCAGTCACCACTAGCGGAGTGAGCTGGAAAATTAAACTTTTCCCGAACCCCGTGGGGAGGAGGGCCACCAACAACACTTAGCAAACATTGATCTTGCTCCGGCTTTAACTTCTGGATATTCGGCAATTTTGCAACAACGGACCGAATAGATTTTCTCACGTCTTTCTCCGCTGCCATTACTGAACTCCAACTCAAACTGACGCGCTACATCAACGTCATCGTTCTCAGCCACTCCCTCTGTTCGCTGATTGGACCGGTAAAAAAATTATTTCTGGAAACCAAAGTCTACAGCACAATCCCAGACGTAGTACTGAAGGAAAATAAAATTGAGCGGAAGTGCGTAGGAGGGCGGAGCCAGGCTAGATTAGCATTACATTATACATATAATCTATTATTATGAAAATACCTGACATGACTCGAAGAACACAGGTAAATCAAATATCATTGCAATCATGTTTATTGTCTTCAAAACATCTTTATCTGCACTTTACAGCGATCTCGGATAGCTTTGTTTATGTATCAGGACTTCCTGAATGTCACATGATTATGGCTCTTCTTCATGTGATCCATATATGGACTTTACTGTGCAACAGCGCCCCAGACTTCAGTATGAATGGATAACACAGTAAATCAGAGTATACAGCGCTCAAAATGATTACATCGACGCATTTGGGTATAAATTCAATAAATATTATTCCTGTCTATAGAAATCTGATGTAAACCTATGATAATCTATCAATATTTCTCCAAATCTGCACATGTTTGAGCTAAAAGCCCTGAGGGACGTTGTTTTGTGAATCGCTGTCATGACGATCGCACGGGAGTTTTTTTCTGAATGAGAGCAGCTGACGCTCATAATTCATATTAAAGGTAACGACTCATTTTTTTATTTCATAACTCCTGACACAAATTAAGACATAACTGTCACTATAAGTTTCTCAGAATACAATAGTGGTCAAATACTGAAACTTGAGTCTTATATCGTTTTAATGATGTATAGTTTGTCAAGTTAATAACATTAAATATGATAGTAACTTTGAACTATTTAAAAAAAAAACGCTTCAGAGCGCCCACGCACTGGTGAAGGTTAACAGGCTAACCAAAGTTACTCACAGTTTAGTGTAATCTGGCATAATGAACACACGTGCGGATATGCTCTGTTACCTCATGTCAGGAGCTATGTCTTCTAGTGCAGTGGTAACAACTTAATTAAATTATTTTAATATACAAGTCATTTTGTGGAACCTTCTAATTTAAATCATCTTTGTCAATTAAAGATTTATTAGAACTATTCACAAATTAACAATAACTCTTAAGGTATTTTTTTTAAAAACTTTTTACAGTTTATATACTGTTTCGGAGAGACTGTTTTGACTATTTAGGTTTTATTATTTCTTTCTTCTACAAAGTACTATTTTTCTGCCCATGTGGAAATAATTTTATTTCACAGTAATAATATATAATGATATAACTATGTTTTGCTGGAAACAATTTTTTCCAAGACATATTTCTGTGGGTATTTGACCGTTTAGGCTCAAACTCGAAGCCCAAAGTATACTTTACTTTTTTGTGTTTTGCTTCGTCTCAGGGTACACACACAGAACGCTCCCTATACTCTAAGTGTTCAAGTACTCAATTGATTTCTTTTTCGTGGCTTAATAGACTACATTTTACGACAATACATTACTGATTTGGACGTTAAGTTTGACCTTTTTGGGAAGGACGAAAGTGCACAGCTATAAATGAAAGGTGTGCATCATTTATATTTATATGATAAAATGAGTATTAAACCATTATTATTATATCTTTTCACAATCGTTGGAATCCAAAATTGAAATCTGAAATACAATTTGATTAAAGGGTTAGTTCACCCCAAAATTAAAATTCTGTCAGTAATTACTCACCCTCATGTTGTTCCAACCCCATAAGACTTTCGTTCATCTTCGGAACACAAATTAAGATATTTTTGATTAAATCTGAGAGCTGGATCCTCCATAGGCAATTAAGGGATTGAAACTTGCCGGCCCAAAAAAGTTAAAGACATCGTTAAAATAGTCCAAGTGACTACAGTGGCTCAATCTTAAGTTTATCAAGCGACGAGAATACTTTTTCTGCGCAAAAAAACAAACAAAAATAACGACTTTATTCAACTATTGATTTCCTTCTCTGTGGGCCTCGAGATAGTTCACGTAGTGTAACTGCGCAGCGTTTCTGGGTTGTACGTCACACGTAGGTTCACAATTGGCCAACGCTGGTCATGTGTGTGATGCGTGTGACATACAACACAGAACCGCTGCGCAGTTACACTATGGAGGATCCAGCTCTCAGATTTAATCAAAAATATCTTAAAGGGATAGTTCACCCAAAAATGAAAATTAAGTCATTAATTACTCACCCTCATGTTGTTCCAACCCCGTAAGACCTTCGTTCATCTTCGGAACACAAATGAAGATATTTTTTATTAAAACTGAGAGCTGGATCACTGCTACATAGGCTTCCTAAGTAGGGTTGGGTACCGAAACTCGGTGCCAATAGGGAACCGGTTCCGACGTAAACGGTAGTAACCAGACCGAATAAGAACGACAATTTCGGTGCCTGATTTCGGTGCCTGACTTAATTAGGCACACACACACGCACAGTCTCTTCTGTCTCGCAAGAGCGCTCTTGCTTGCAAGGTTTGGCTGCATTTCACGTGTAAAATTACGCGTCAGAACGCCCTCTGGGTGTGCCGATAGTCTGAATCCTATATAGAATCAAGCCGCGCGGGCGCCGCCTCGACGCACTTACGTCGTCATATTATGTTGGCGCGCACGCGCGCCATCTGCTCCTCAGATTTCTCTGTCGCAAAAGGAAGCTGGTCGGCAGCGCGAGGAGCTTGGCAGTGTCTCGTTTCCTATTGAGAGAACATGTTACACCAGTAACCAGAGATGTTCTCTTTCATAGGTTCACTCAACGGTGCGTAGCTAAGAAGCAGTGGATTTGTATTTGTAGGCTGCTGTATCACGTGCCGTTTGAACCGACGCGCTACAGCGATGTCACATTTCAAAGAGCCAAAACGTTATTTATTGGGTGAATCTCGTAAAAATATTGACAGAATCTGACAGCTGTGGATTTGTTCCATTGTATTTATATTGTTTAAAGATTTAAGTTAATATTGTGTCCAGTTTGGCCCTGTAAATAAAAGGGTATTATTTTTTGATAAAGTGTGTGCGGTTTCGTTTTCTTAAGTACCGTTTCAAGAACCGTTTAAGCACCGGAACCGTTTAAAAAATACCGAGTAGGTACTGGTATCGGATAAAACCCAACCGATACCCAACCCTATTCCTAAGGGAGTGAAACTTGACAGCCCAGAAAGTCATTGAAGAAAATGTTTAAATAGTCCAAGTGACTACAGTGGCTCAACTATAAGTTTATCAAGCGACGAGAATACCTTTTGTGCGGAAAAACAAACAAAAATAACGACTTTATTCGACTATTCCTTTTCTTCCTTGTGGGCCTGAGACGAGAGATCAAGAGATTTCCACAACGCATGCGCGAGAACTGAGAAGAGGACGTTCTTCTTTATTACTTCTTGTTCAGTTCTCGCGCATGCATCGTGGAAATCTCTTGAACTCTCGTCTCAGGCCCACAAGGAAGAAAAGGAATTTTTTTTTTTTCGCACAAAAAGTATTCTCGTCGCTTGATAAACTTATAGTTGAGCCACTGTAGTCACATGGAATATTTAAACATTTTCTTCAATGACTTTCTGGGCCATCAAGTTTCACTCCCTTAGGAAGCCTATGTAGCAGTGATCCAGCTCTCAAATTGAATAAAAAATATCTTCATTTGTGTTCCGAAGATGAACGAAGGTCTTACGGGGTTGGAACAACATGAGGGTGAGTAAATACTGACAGAATTTTCATTTTGGGGTGAACTAACCCTTTAATCACCCAGCCATATTTGATATCATCGTAAACTCTGTGAATTCATTATAATCAAATATATCAAATACTGTATCACTGGGATACACAGCATATGTCAGTGTAAACCAGGGTTCCTCAAATCTGGCCCTGTGGATGGCCACTACCTGGCAGAGATTAGTTCAAGCCCTGATCAAACTCGCCTACCTATAATTTTGAGTAACTCAGAAGACCTTGATTGGTTTGATTGAGTTTGCTTAGGAGTCTTTGATTAGGGTTGAAGATAAACTCTGCAGGGCAGTGGCCAGATTTGAGGATCTTTGGTGTAAACTTTAACAAAACATTTTTATTGTTCTGGCTTTCCTAGGTCAAAGAGGAAAGTTCTAGGTCGCAAGGAACCAACAGATTCTTTTGGAAGCAGGCAGTGTCTGGTCTCACCCGTGAAAAACAGTAGCACAGACCTCCGAACTCTGGGCCTCGGGACCACACCTAGGTCAAGCTCACGAAATGAAAACTTTATGGCTCTTCTCCAGAAGAGGAGCAGCAAAGCCAGCAGCGGGACCCGAGTTTCTGCCATGGAGTTGCTGAAGAGCACAAACCCCTTGGCACGACGAGTCACTGAGTTCTCTCAGTCACAACCAGAAGGGAGCGTGTCAAACACACCAAAACCAGCTCAGCAGGACCAGTGATTCCATTTGTCGAGAACCACATGCTGGCTATCAATATGGCTGGTTTTCCCTATGCTCCACTGCCCATCTAAACGGTTTAATTTACAAAGACCTCATGCTGAAGGAAATTAAGTGGGTTTGAGTTGTTGCTTTCAGACAAGGGGATCACACTGATGATGTAATGTGGAGTATAGTCAGTATTAAAGGAAACTGAACCCATCACTGAAACAAAATTCTGGCATAGAAATCTGCTATTTTGGAAATATGAATGCGATGATGAAACTCTTGAATGGAAACTGCATCAAGAAATATTTTCAACACTGTTCACTATTTTAGGAGCCCAGCCTATATTTGTGGCCAAAGCCTGCTCTGCCCATTTCAGTGGTGGACTAGAAAGTGTCTTAGTAGGATAATTGTGTTTTAAAAGACTGCACAAACTCGCACAGAGAGAGAAACATTCCACAGAGGTTGTAAGCAAGGTCTGGTACCCCTAAAAAATGAAGCACTTTCACCAGTACAGGAACTAGTTTACATGACAAAAAGCTATATTTGTTATTTTCCCTAGTTTCTTTTTCGGTGTTATTTTTTCAAAAGATATGAAAGGCCATATAAATGTCTTCTTGAGTTTATTTAATCTGTACAAAACTATGTATACGACATATAAATAAATATATATATATATATATATATATATATATATACGAAAATGTAACTGCTTGATCAAAGACGCAAGGGACACAAAGCTGTCCATATCTGTGACAATTCTTAGGAAACTGCCTATTATTTTATAAGCTCACAGCACACAATGGATTGAAGTGGTCATATAAACCATCATCATGCAATATACATGAACCACATCTAACGATCTTCCCACACTAACAGAAGTGTAAACAGACAGCATATAGCTATGATTGTGCCCAATATACAACAAATCAAAATTGACATAGACAAAACATACCTTAGAAAAGAACATTTGTGGACGGTACAAAATGAGGGAATAACACAGTAAGTGGGAGACAAAGGAAAGGACACCGGGCTACAGAAGAGGGGCAAGTAAGCGTTACCACAGAGTCATTGGTTTGGTGCTGGCCGTACATTGGCCCTCATTTATCAAAAGTGCGTACACCAAATTTCCAGCGTACACCTGGCGTACACCCAAACCCACGGTGACTTTGAGATTTATCAATATGGACGTTGGTGTACGGAACGCTCAAATCCTACGCCAGCTCAGGAGGTGGTGTACGCACGTTTTGAATTAGTGCGGAAATGCGCAGAAAAACAATTCCTAACACCACAAAACGCACTGACAAACTAAAAGATATGATATATTATGACCAACAACAACAACAACATAGTAATTATAAACTTCAGTGTTTATTTTTGTGCAACATGGACTTCAATGTTTAATTTGTGTGACTTTACCAAAGCATTTGATTTGAAGCCATATGTATTCCTTCAGTTGCGAGCCTGTGCGCTTTACCCTGACGTTTCATGGTTAGGCCCGGCAGGTGCGCACGGACTGGGTTCGGTAATGAAAGGCTTTCAATGACCAAAAAATAATTCAGACTGACAAAATAATAAAAAATACATTCTTCTTCTTTTAAATAATAATAATAATAATACAAATAAATAATAATAACGACGTTCTTCTTCTAAATAACAACAAGCGTCATTAATAATAAAAATCATAATAATAAGAAGAATATTACAAATTGTCATGCAATTATTAATGTGAATGAATGGTACTCCACATCACATCATCATCGTCACTATTGTACACCCCAATACATGTGACGCGATTCGAAATTGAATGCTAATTGTTTCAAAAGACGTGCCGTAAAATATTGCATTGTGATAGGACATTTCGGCTCCACGTCGGAGAAGTTTCTCTTCTATGCCGTCTTCCGTGTGTACATGGCGTAAAATGAGGGCGTGGGGGAAGCGGAGACTTGAATGGGGCGTGCTATTCTAATGACGATCGTTTTCAGCCGCGGGATTTATCAAGGGCAGGTATTGCGTACACCTGGATTTCAAAGGTACGCACAGCTTCATAAATCAGGCGGTGAGAGGAGTGTAAGCATAATCTAACGCCAACATATACGCCCGTTTCTACGCAAGAATGATAAATGAGGGCCATTGTGTCAAATCTCTCAGGGGTTTCTTTGCAACTCAAACCCATCATGGCTACTGGTCAAACTGTGGCTACTTCACAGAGATTTTACTCGTCAACACAAAGTTTTAGGGACGAGATTTGCTAAGGCCTATGGACGGTAAAAGATGACATGATTCATACATCTCTCATTCTTGCCCCCACTCCCCCCCAGAAAATTAGACAGCTCTAAATACCACAATTCCAGATCATCTCACAAGACAGGATCATTCAAACCCAAGTGCAAAGCTTCTCACTTTGTCCATTTCAGACTATGCATCAAAGCTGAATCAAACCTGCCCTTCTGTCTGCACTGGCAGTAAACGCCTGTGAATGTTAAGAAAGGGTGTGGCAGAGCTCAACACTTTATGTTTAGGTTCAATTTTTGACCAAAAAGATTTTTTTTTAATGGTTGCCCTCCATGCAACTGCAAGATCGGATTGTAGATCGATGTTTGAATGCACAAAAACTTTGCAGACTTTGATCACTTGTGGTAATTTACTCAAGAACTCGAGTAGGTCATCTGTGGTAACTGACCACCATCCTACTTTAAGGGAATTTTGGAGACTACTGCAGACCGAGGATCTACAACAGGCAGCCGCAGAGACTGAAACTTCAGAGACTGCTTCTTCTTACCATTCCTTATGAAGCTCCCCTTCCTCGTGTGACTGTTTTTCTGGCTCCCAATCAGACAATGGACAGAAACCTGGTGCTATTGAGCCAGAGCGCCCTCAGCAGTCCAGGAGAGGAAGTGCTTGGCAAAAATCTGTTCTAACTCTAGATATTCATCTTCTCAGACTAGTCGTTCAGGTATTCCGACAATATGAAAAGCATAACATGAAAAAAGAGACAGAATACCACCACATTAAAATAGTATACACTTGTTTTAAATATTTAGTGAATGAAAAAAAGTCAGACAACCAGTGTTTATTTGCCTTGTTCTCTGGCGTGAAGCCTCTGTGTTTTTAAATGCCTTGGTATTGCACTTCCGTAGAAGTATGGAGAGTTTCTTTTACTCTTTTTTGGATTTACTACTATGATATTTATCACTACTCTTGTGTACTCTGTGCTTAACCCTATCAATGTCAACAGTACTCTCACAGGTACACGCAGAGGAGAGAGGGAGGAACAGTGGAAGGAGAAGGGGCAAAACAAAATAGAGAAATGTACCTTAGTGGACTGTTAGAAGCCCTGTACATCACTATGTAAATCCCACAGAGGGGGATCCATTGGACAGACATACTTTTGTTATAATCACATTAGTAGCGTTTGACAAACTGACATGAAAAGGTGACAAATTCCTCTCTAGAGTTTCACTGACTTCACTCAAGCCATTTTCTGCTCATCTCCTTTTTCCTCGCATAACCGATAGGGGTTCATTCTGAATCACATTTTGGTATACAGAGTGAAATGTGCCAACTAAGGGAGAAAAAAAGGGAGTCCTGAACAAGTTTGTTAACAACCATCTTGCTGTCAAGCGAAGCCAACCACTTTTAATCAATTCTTGTCATCGCAAGTTGACAACTCCCCGCATCACGCATTGCCAGATTGAATGGGAAAAGCTTTAAAAAATTGCAGATTGCCCTTGTTCTTTGGGAAGAGAGAAAAAAAGACAGGATGGGAAGGTTCCTCAATGAAAATTATATTTTTGTTATTTTTTTCCTTGGAAAGACATTTTAAAATGTGCATATTATAGACCTCACCCTCCAGCAGAAATGAAGGTTGCTGTGGGATCTTTAATCAGCTGCAGTATGTCTTGCCTATGTGGTAAAAGGTATATCATTAAAATAAATTATTTTTCTTGCATAACAGTCCTTTGCGGTTGTGGAGTTCTTTTTCTCTTTAAAACTATACGACATACATTACTTTTTCTGGAGTTCCTTTCCATAAGATTTTGAGGTCTTGGATCAGATTTCCCTTTCAAACTGAGAAGCACACAAAACATTCTATTAGTAATTCTACAACGAACTTATGTAATGACTTGCATTATGATAAACCTGAGCAATATTGCCCCCTTGTGGGTTTATTTTTACTCTCCGTTTCTGCTTTATCAAACCTCTGCAGCGCTCACCTCAATAGCAACCACCGCGGTACTTTCATAAACACCTGTTTTTCGCTGGGCACTAGAAAATGCTTCTGATCCATAAGCCTATCGTGTGCCTACAACAAAGGTCACTGAGGTACTTTGATCTAACTTCATTTTTTATGTGTTGAGTAACACATAGTTTTGAACGACAGTTCAAATTTTAGGGGTTAGCAAGATTTATGCTAGATGGCTGCATTTATTTGATCACAAATACAGGAAAAACAGTAATATTGTGAAATATTATAATTTAAAATAATGTTTTCTATTTAAATATATTTTAATGGAATCATTATGTATATAATTAATGTATTCATGTGATGGCAAAGCTGAATTTTCAGCATCATTACTCCAGTCTTCAGTCTCGCATGATCCATCAGAATCAGAAATCATTCTAATATGCTGATTTGATACTCAAGAAATATTTATCATTATTATTATCATCAATGTTGACAATAGTTGTGCTGCTAGGCAATTTTTTTTTCACTTTTTGTTTTTCTGTTTGAATTCTAAATATTAAAAAAAAAAAATGACATATATTGTCTGTGGAAGTCTCAGGACCAAAAAATGTTTGTCTAATCATTGCATTCGGTCCAACTGTACATATATGTATTTTCATATCTCCGTTCAGACATCAGACGTCATCAGCGCGTTACATTAGGCTATGCAGAGAGTTGGAGATAGACACTCACCGAGCGCTGAAAAAAAAAAAACTGCCTTTTACATTTCCTCCTGAACCAAAACAACTTATGCTACATTCATGCCATGTCGTAACCGTAATTTAGAGACAGCAACCCGTGACGTCCAAAAACTGCCTTTTACATTTCCTCCTGAACCAAAACAACTTATGCTACATTCATGCCATGTCGTAACCGTAATTTAGAGACAGCAACCCGTGACGTCCCCCCCCCCTTACTAAGTAAGAGCTCTGTAAGTTATTTAAGTTCATTATTATTCTAATGTTATGTGCTTGATACGTGAGGTAATTAAAGCTGTATCTTTATGACATTTGCTGAATCTGCTCTTCCTGTAGGCTACTTGACATGTGTTTTGGAGGAGGCGTGGCTTTGGAGATGCTCTGAAGGGAGGGTGGGATCTTATGCTTTCAATGCTAGCTTGCTATTGCTAGCCGCTCCAAAATTGCCTATCCTACCTTTAAAGGGGTCATCGGATGCCCATTTTCCACAAGTTGGTATGATTCTTTAGGGTCTTCATGTAAAGTTTGTAACATACTTTGGTTAAAATTCCTCAATGGTTGTGTAAAACAACACCCTTTTTACCTCCTCAAAAACAGCTCTGTTCACAGCGACCCATTTCGGTGCATGTCTCTTTAAATGATAATGAGCAACTGTTCACCTCACCCCTCTCTTCCTTGGGGCGTGTTGACACACAAGACATGTAAAGTGATGCCATGGCAACCTACTCAGCCGAAAGTATACAAATGGCTAAGGGCGGAAATATGCTAATACCAAGGGGGTAATCCATCAGCCAGAAACTGAGGCTTCATCTGGGGGCCGCAATTGTAGCAGAACTTCACCTGGTGTTAGCATTCCATTGACTCCCATTCATTTTGGCATCACTTTGACAGCGAATAACTTTACATCTGAGGCGTCCAAAGACTCCATTTGTCCATTATTTATTTATAAAGAAACACGACAATGTATAAAAGGCTCCATTACTTTGTATCTTACGTTATGGCCCCGTAGAAGCCGTTTTTGTAAAAATAGGCTAATGATTGCACCATAACCACGGGACGCTCTGTCGCACAGTAGAGAAATGACCATATAGACAGGAGGAGAAGCTGGCAGGCAATCTTTTACTGTCTATGAGGCAATCGGGGGGACGTGGAGGCATAAAGTCAAGGGAGAAGCCCATAGATAGAGATTCCATAAAAGCAACGGGACAAAATATTTCAACAACAGATTTGTTTCAGATTTCAATTCAGATTTGTTTTGGCACAGTTACTAGAAGTGTTATGTTTGTGTAGGACTCAATAACCACACCGTGTAGCTCCGTTCATGTTGCGTTTACTGAACTGACGCAAACCTTACATTTGTTGACCCTTGCCGTAAATCACTGCCGTAAGCCTTAAAGGCACCGTAACCTGTCACTCGCAGTGCATAACATAACAGAGTCCAACAGGAAACAATACTGAACGTTTTCAGACATAACAAAAAGGCTTACAACTGTCAGACAGGTTGCTCACGTCACACCTCCGTCGGCAAGCTCAGTTTGAGCCTGCGCAGTGCGCTCAGCCATCAAGTGAGTGCTTCTAATTGGCTTCACTTTTCTCCGTTGAAGTCTATGGGGTCGCTGTGTCCCTTTCTTTTACTGTCTATGGCTAATACGGGACAGTCCTTCAGTGGTCGTGGGCGGAGCATTAGCAATATGACATCAAATTGCTCAGAAAATCCAAACGGCTTGATTATTGAGAGTGTTTAGGCTTTTTGAGGATTTAAAAAAAGGAGTGAATGGATTTTTTTCATTGTATGGTGGTTGTGTCTACACACTGCAAAGACACTAAAGTGAATTTAGCATCCGATGATCCCTTTAATAATTTTGTAGAAACGGGGATACTTTTTTTCAGTATTTATAGAAAGTACAAAAGAACAGCATTAGTTGAAAGAGAAATCTAATGTATTAATGTAAAAATATGCAATACTTCCTTGCAAAATAAAAGTATTCCTTTCTTTTAAGACGTAAGAATGATTAAAACAATGTTGTTATAGTAATAACTGAAAAAAACTACTTTTTGATGAAAACAACATTTGTTCAAATGATATGTCTTTAAGAAAGCGTTATTTTGTCAATGAGGTAGCTTTTCTATTGTTTGCATATGGCTGGTCTGTACAGAGTACAAAAAGTTATTTGTAGGCCATTTATGAGCATGCATTAAGTGTCTTCACAAAGGACTTTGAGCATACCTCTTGCAACTTATTTGACAGCACAGTAATATAATTTTTTGTAAATGTGATATAAACTATTACAGGGGCCATAAAGAGATCTGTTAAAGAGATCAATGTCATTAAGGCAGAACTTTTTTTAAAAATATTTTTTTCATTTAATTTCTTTCTTTGTTTAACACACAAGATGACACACTCACCATCAACTATTAAAAGTCATAGTAAGTCATAATACTTATTCTAGTATTTCAATCAGATCAAATAGGTCATGGAGCAAAGTTCAGCTATCATACTGCAATTACTACTGAGATAAAAGCTGGACCGACTTGAACCTTCAGACCTTTTTATGGCATGCACAGTTAAGGATGTTGTAATGGTAGGATAAGTGAGACCTGATCCCAGCCACCGGCACAGCCCATACTAATGCATTCCCAGTGCTTCCTGGTGCTGCATCAGAGAGAAGGCTGAGAGCTTGTCAAACTCTGAGCAGCCAGTGGCACATTTCCTGTTGTTGACAGGCGAGGAGAACAGCAGAGGCTGCGCTGAGCTGCGTGCAGGGACTCGCATTTTATCAGCTGGAGTGCACACAGACACTCTTTCACAGGAAGAGCTGCTATCACTTCTCAGATACACAGACGCAGAGGAAACACTGACACTGAACCTCTTACCAACGGCCCAGAAAAAGGAGCTGCTCCACAGGTGGACTGACTCCCTCCATCAAGAGTCTGACTGAAGAAAACAAGTGGGAACTGCTTTGTTATTTGTTGTGTTTTCACCTGATCTGAGTGTATCCAGGAGGTGTTATGGTTTTGTTCTACATGGGATCGGATAAAACCTCATCTATAGTCATGCAGGCTGAGGACCCTGTTCGCCAGGACATGCAGTTCTACTATGTGGTGAGTGGGGGAATTACCTACAGTCGTATGCAGATGTGTACTAATGCAGTGTCAAACTATATGATAATGTTTTATATTAAACAAGTGTAAAGTGTAAAATGCTGTCAGTGCACAGTATTTATATTTTCCTGCAAAGACTCATTATCAATAACACAAGCTCTCTACTATGTGCCTAGTTGTAAGCAACCTACATAATGGTTGTTCCACTGAAATATTAATATCTCTGTCTGTAAATGACTGTAAATATGAATTATTTACAGCATCAGCATAAACCAATATTAATATAAGCCTATTTAGGGTCAGCAGTATTGGTAAACATGCTATTAAGGTGGTTGTCTGTATATTTCTGCACTTTGATTCATGGGTTGATCAGGAACAATTTAAAAAGGATATAAAACTAATATCTACAGTGTGTTGTACGTACAAGTTTGAACTAAAGGCCTTAAAAAACTTTTTTTTTTAAGTAAAAAAAAAAAAAAAGCAAAGATTTCGGTATGTAGATATATGTTTGTAAATAAAGTAGCCCGTGCGCATTATAGTTTGGCTGCTAATGATAATTGTGGCTGGCAATCCAAAGATTGCAGGTTCAGCTCTGGATGTCCTGCATGTGGACCGAAGAGTTGAAAATCCTGGCACTGTTGTCCTGGACATTTAACCCCAAATTGCTCCACAAGGACCATCCTTGCAATTCTTGCAAAAGGCTTCTGCTAAATGACCTGTAATGAAGTTTAAGATCAATTCAGAATGAAGGCTTTGTTTCTAATGGTTGATTTAATAGGTTCTTCACCCATTGGGTCAAGCCAATCTGAACAGTGCAAATTTAATTAAACTCATTGGGACATCACATGAGCTAATGAGCCAACATAGACTACACACTTACCGAAATCTCAGGATCTGCGTCAGCTGATCACATCATTTAGTTGCTCTTGGTGGCAAAAGATTAGGAAGTTGCTTCAAAACAGTGCGCAGTGGAAAAGTACAAAGATTTGATGGATTGGCCAACATCTTGGACAGTGTGCAATATAATGAAGACCATATGCTATGAGTGTAAGTGTGGGGGAAGGGGTTCCCTTCTATTTCATCCTGCTGTCAGCTGTCTACTGATAGCCATCGGCGTACGTTAGAAATAGGACAGGTGCAAAACCAGCATTACTGTAAACATCTGCGCTAATTTATGCCCCGTGTCCAACAGCATTTCTCATACTTCAGTTGTTCTACCAAAAATAATGAACATAATGGCATTGCGAAGAGCTTTTATTATGCTTTCACTAGCAAAGGTAAAACATGCAAGGGTCTATTCTCATGGGAGACAAAACAGGGCCACCAGCTTTCACATACTTAAGAGCTTCTGGATAATGATTAGAGTCATTCTCTGGTGCTGCACATTCCTGCAGTGCTAGTCAAGGTAAACAGATCCATGTCTAATGTCAGTGCCTGATCAATGAGGGGCTTCTCATCTCCACATAATACTTTATAGATGTGTCAATATAATTATTGCATACGGCCAAACATACTTAAAATCGGGGTATGGTAACGCTGGAAAACTCTTATTGCCAACAGACTGTGTGAGGGAAAAAACGTCAAATATTTGCTAGAACATTGGAAAACTCTGCATTGGGGTGTTGGAAGGATTGGAGCCAGGCAGAAGAGGATTAGATTGTCTCTCTGTGTCTAGATTTACAGTTCGAACCAATAAAAGTAGCACGAAAAAGAAAAAGAAAAAAAAGAACCTGACACACAAGCTCTTGCTTTAAACAGCCAAACTCTACATGGGTTAGATTAGGAGGTTTAGTTTCACAGACACAGTACAAGAGAGGTCCCTTGATCAAAGATGATTTCTAAGCTCTTTGTGTCTTAATGCAAGGGTTCCCCAAACTTTTTTTATAGGATCCATCTAGAGAGGTGTAGTTTTTCTTAAATATTTCTTAAATTTCCACAAACTTTATCTCTATACCCTAAAATGTTTTGATGAAATATGATTGGTAGAATGCAGTTGTTCTCTTAACTTATCCTTGTCATAATTATTAGATTGGGTATATGCTTATCAATTTCATGTCATTATCATACGGCCATATGGTAAGCTAAAAAAGAGTATAAACATGAACAAAGACACAAGTGTGAGGTATGACAAAGAAAGAATATGTCTATATCTTTTCTTACTTGATAGCACATGTGCCGATGCATTGCAATGTAATATAATGATGCCCTGAAAAGGAACTTGCCGTTCAGTAAGTGACTCATGTTGATTCAGTAGCCACTCTGATGGAGTGAAGGGTTCATCAGACTGATTAAACTGAGAGGGTATAGCCAAATTCCTCATTCCATTTATTTATTTATTTATTTTGCTCCCTTGAAGGGTACTCCTGCTGAAAAATCCAGCATTGCTGGTCACCAGCACAAGGCGTGTTTTGCACGCTGGGGCCATCATGAGATGCTGGTGGCTGGTTTGCTGATTTTTGTTTTGCGATGTACACAAGCTCTTTTTAATTGATTTTAACTGATTTGTGTACAGATCATTTGAAACAGGAGGCAATTCATTTGATGTTTTGAAATGTTTTATCAGTTTACCAGTGACTGATTAATAATGTAATCATAACTAAAACAATTAAAATTTTCAATTACTTTCAGCAGAGGGAGCAAAAGAAATTGCAAAGTTATAATATAATTCAATAAATCATATGTTTTAACCTTATATTGTTGTTCCTTTACATCATGAATGTGTAAAATATAGAAATACGCAAGCAAAAACATTGCTTGTCCCCAAAACACTCCTTGCACACAGCATGGCCTACTTACACTCAACCCCGCAAGACCATGCTGGTGAACCAGCTCTACCAGCTCTGTTTTGCTTGAGAACAGCATGCTGGTCCATAGCTATACCAGCACTAGCCAGCATAAACCAGCCTGGACCAGCATGAATGCCGTTTTTTCAGCAGGGACTGTGAGAAGGGGACGCCACACGAAGGGAAGTTCTAAACATCAGTGAGCATCTGAACTCCTTCACAAAATTAGCAAAAGCTATGGTCAATAAGATTCATTTTACCATTTATTTTCAGAACCAAATTTAAGTAGAATGATTGCGTGTGATATTTTATGCATGCATGAAACATATTTTAGTTTAGTTTAAATAAGTTTCGCAGGTAAGAAATAAAGTGAATGACTAAATGTGTTTCAAAAAGCCACATTATAAGACACAATTGCCCTGCTCTCTCCACAGTTCCCACTTCAAGGGCAATTGGTCCTTCGAAATAATTATAGGGATGCTCACTTGGGATTGAAATTCGCTTTCAGTTTTTAAACGATTCATCAAAAGAATCTGCGCTTAAGAGTATTTGTTCAATCAGACTGCACAGTTCATGTTGTAGTTTGTTTTTACGTGTAGCCAGTGAAAATTTGCAGCCGCATTGCAGTAAACACTGCTGTGACCTGCGTCATGGCAAAAATATACAAATACAAGTTATGCTTTTCATATTTCAAAAAATGTTGGTAGCACTTTATTTTACAGTCCTGTTCCCCATGTACATATTATGTACTTATCTATCTATAAATTACAGGAACGTCTGTCTGTCTGTTAATCGAATATTTACAGAATATCTCTCGAACCGTTAGTCCGATGGATTTCAAACTTGACAAGTGTCTTGCTACGGGCACGAGTAAGTGCAGTGCAGAGTTTGACGTTGTTTGGATTAGAAATGCAAAATATATCATTAAATATATTGGTAAAAGAAGCACACATTGAAGTTGTGACATTAGGTTGTGGTTTAAAAATAAACATTCTGTCAGCTAAACATTAAGTCAGCTACACTGTTTACTTCTGAACATTGTAGTTATACAGAAGTAGTTAGTTGTCAGTAGTTAGTTATGTCATTATCAGTATTATAGTATGTCAGTATCAGTATTTGCTTTCAACCATCCACAAATAAAAATGTCACTGAACTTTTGGTGTGTAATTGTAAAAATGTGCACTCAAACACACCAAACCAACAATTACTAAAAACACACACAAAAACTGATTTTGCACATGCATAATGTTAATTTGCACATGTCAAATTGATAAACGAGATTAAAAAAATATATATACAGTACACAGGTATAATATACAGTATATATAAATATAATATATACACAGACACACATAGCCTATCTATCTATAAATTACAGAAACATCTGTCTGTGTGTCTGTTTGTCACGGTATAGGCTTGGAGATGAAGGAGGCAGACGAATCACTACATCAAAATCAAAGGTTTAATTTCCAGAAGGCAAAATACAACAAAGAGCTCCACACAGAGAGCGTATGCTCAAACATTGACCGACAAACACTGAATAAAGAACAGGAACTAAATACACAGATGATAATGGGGTACGACAGGTGACGGTGATGAAGAAGATAGACTATTTAACTAAACACAGGTGACTAAACTGAGGACAAACGAGGAGCGGGAAAACTGAGATACAGGACTGAACCAAAACACAATGCAGGGGGAAACACAGGACACACATGTAACATAACGCCCCCTCCAAAAAGGCGCGTCCTCGCGCCTTATAACTTCAATAGGGGTGGGGGGGCGGGCGCCCTGGAGGCTGACGAGGGCGTGGCCTACCCTGAGCAGGAAGCCTCCAGGGCGGAGCAGGCTGGTCAGGGGGCCATGGCGGAGTAGGAGACCACCCCTCGGGCGGTCCTGGCGGAGAATCCCCTTCGGGCGGCCATGGCGGAGAATCCCCTTCGGGCGGCCATGGCGGAGAATCCCCTTCGGGCGGCCATGGCGGAGATTCCCCTTCGGGCGGCCATGGCGGAGACGCACCTTCGGGCGCCCATGGCGGAGACGCACCTTCGGGCGGCCATGGCGGAGACGCACCTTCGGGCGGCCATGGCGGAGACGCACCTTCAGGTGGCCTATATCCCCCCCCCCAAAACTTTCTTGGGGGGAATCACAGGCTCTGGGACAGGCTCTGGGTGGGCAGACGGGACGTGGAAAGTCTCTGGCTGGGCTAGCGGTGAA